ACTAATTGAGCCTCATGGTCAGGGCAGTTACCTTTAATTATTTTCCTTTCTCAATATCCAAAGACCTCGAAGTCAGAACTACATTTTCTTTTATACAATAGGGATCTCTGTACCAGCTAATTGGGCAGAATCTCCAAATTGACTTTAGATTTGTTTTTTTTCTGCTTATTGGGTGTTTCAACAGAAAATGTCCTCACCCAAGGGATGCAAGTAAATGAATTGAGGTCCTTAATGTCACTTTCCCCTAAAAATGATTGAATAAGTGTCTGCATAACATTGCTATTGCTGCTGTAACAAATCACCACACTAAGGGTTTAAAGGAAACAAGTTAATACACCTACAGATCTGGGGGTCAGAAGCCTGATGAGTCAATGAGCAGAAAGCAAGATGTCTGCAGAGCCAGGTTCCTTCTGGAGGCTTCAGGGAATGTCCCATTTCCTCTCCTACCCCAACTTCTCTTTCCACTAGGCTCTTTCTCCATCTTCAAGGCCAGCCGTGCAACATCTTCCAGTTTCCCTCTGATTCCAACTATTCTTCCCTCCTGTTCCAATGTTAGAACCACAGTGAGTACATTAGTCCCACCTACATAATCATGGCATCTTTTCTTAAAGTTAGCTGATTAGTCACACTATTCCATCTTCTACTTGAATTCTGTCTTGCACTGAAAAAGTAACATATTACAAGTTTATGGGAATTATGATGTAAGTATCTTTGGAAGCTCATCTTTTGCTTACAGCAAATTTTTCTTCAATAATAATTTCTATAGTGTCACACAAGGGCCCTTATGCAAACAAATCAAATTAGGTACTTTTCAGAAGCATATCATATGATGTCATTCATGAATCCTTACATAAAATAATTGAACAATGAACTTACAACAGATTCTGGAATGAATGAATATACACTATCTATTCAAAGTTACCTGCAAACAATTTTTGGTCCTGAAGACCTAAAAGTACCTACACCCAACTCTGACATAGATCCAGCCATACTATTCAAAGTGTGGTCCAGTGAGCAGCACTTGCAGCATCAACACCACCTGGGAAGTCATTTGATTCTAAGAACCCCTGGGCCCACCAGGACTTGCATTTGAACAGTAAACCTGGGTGACTTATATGCATCTTGAAGTTGGAGAAGTGCTGGACCAGACTAGGCTTTGTCACCTTCTCATGTTGACAATAGGGGTGGGATAATTATTTGTGACAGATACTGTAGGTGGTTAGTAGCCTCTGTCCACATGTTTCAGGGGCAAAATCATCTCAGGAGGAGAAACACAGGCCCAGAGTTTGAAAACTGGAAGCAACCTGACAGATTTTGATCAAGGTCCATCCCTCACTTAGTTCATAACTTTGAGCAAATCACTAAAGCCTTTCCAGCCCCATTTCTGCAAAAGGAAATGGAGTTTATGATAGTAATACCTAATAGAATGGACTTTTCAAGAATTATATCAAAAAAGTCTACAAGGTACTAAGTTCAGATTATATAGCATAAAACTATCAAAAGGTATCTCCCATAATTAACACATATTTTATAATGAGGCACTAAATGACAGCTCATAACTTGTGATATTATTTAAAAATTTCTATTTATTTTGACAAATGCATCAAGAAGCCAGGCAGTGTGGTAGCCAGGATTGCATATCAAAGGAACACACTTCTCCCCTCATTGAAGAGGGGATAACAATGCTCTGGAGACATTGAGGCAGCATTGCTACCACAAATAAGTTCTTGGGTATCAAAGGGTCTATCTGATTCTGATGCATGTCATAGTCTCAGACTTTGGAGGAAATGTTAACTCAGTGTTAGAAAAAGGTACTAGGAGGTGAGACCTCTGGGAAGCAGATGAGACCCAAGACAAGGAGTCATAAAATCTAAATCCACCTGGCTTCTAACATGGTCCTTTGAGATCTGAGAATCATTAGGAAAAATTTTCTTCCTGTTAATTGCAGAGGCCCGGCGGGAAATCATGTACTTAGATGTAGGAATAACACAAGGGAAATGTGTCTGATGAGCCAATATTCAGAGAGTTGTGAATATCTCCCCATGCAGTACCTGAGCTTGTACAATGATGGCAGACAGGACATGGTTGTTGCTGTTGATTCCTAAGACTTGCTCAAGAACTGATGCTTCACTCCATCCTACTGTCTTGTGTAGGACAGAGCTTCAGTCTCCATCATCAACCCTACAGGGAGCAATTGTCACTTACACACAGAAACCTTCCTTTCAGAAAACCCATCCAGGGGATTCTTAGAGCCCGGTATGTACATTAGGAAAGGGTCAGATAGGCTGGAACTTGAGAAATTTACTTCGTCATTAGGACCCTAATCATCCCAGCCCTGAGGCCAGATATCTCTGTTTGTATTCCTGGTTAAGGAACTAATTTATACTTAATTTACTTAATATGTTAACAAGGATGTATCTGTTTGAATCTGCTCTCCAGGGCCAAGTAATGGGAATGGGAGTCCAGTCAGATGATGCTGTACAATGAGATGCATGAAATGGCTACAGGAAAATGAAAACACTTCAGTGGAGTTGTGTTGTTTTCAGAGACGAAATGGAGCAGTAGCTGTGGAGAGCAGTGCAGTGAAGTGAGTGTTTGTACTAAATTCCTAAGATGGGGTGTATTTCAGCATGTTTTGTATTCATTGAAAGATCCAACCAGTAGAAGTAGACAGCATCATGCTGTAGCAGTTAGGGAGACAGACATTGCAGTGTCTTCTTTCATGATACATATTCACATAAGAAAACATTTAATAAGTCTAAAATGGAATACTGAGTAGTTTTACTTCATTACTGGTGAGGCTCATATACTTTTGGATTTCATGTCCTTTTATCTATTCAAATAGTTAGTAGAAATTCCTATCCCACACTTAGCCTTTCCATGCAGTGCACATTTTTCCATGCATTGAATGAGAGATTCAGTCATTCTCTTGGGAATATAAATTGAGGACTAAGCCAAAGAGTATAGCATGCTGAGAAAAAATAGTTTTGAAAATTCAGTGATGAAAATATTAAGGCCACACATTGTACCTTTAATTTTAATGACCCCAAGACATCCTAGTTCATGTTTATATTTATGCCATGATGACTTCACTGTCCCAGCTAACGGGGTGGAAATTTCCAAATATTTTTAAAAATTTCTGTTGTATTCCCTGTGGATTTTCAAAGTAAAATACTTACCCAAGGAAACTAACAAATGCAGACATTTTAACTGAGCCCCTCCATCACATGTCACTGCATGACTGAATCTATTAGACTGCTGAGACTGCTGGGAAGCACTCCCACACCAGTCGTTCTCAGTGAACACAGATATGGGCATACAGTTCTAGGTGTCAGAGCCTGGCTCCAGTCTCACTTGCTAATATCAAGGTGTCTGCAGGGCTGGGCTCCTCCTAGAGGCTCGGGGAAAAACCTGTCTTCTCCTTAATTCCAGTTTCTGTTCTGACCACCTGCATTCCTTGGCTCAGGGCCCTCCCTCCTTCACTAAAGCCAGCAGTGTCACATTTTCTCCTGGTCTCACTCTCTGAATCTAGGGGAGCATTGTGCTGACCTTGTCCCCCTGGATGATCCTGCTCATCTTCTACCTTCAAGTCAGCTGAGTATCAGCCCTGTTCCTTCTGCTACCCTCATCATCCAGTTTATATAAAAACATCATATTCAAACATACTGGGGATTAAGGTGTAGATATCTTACAGAGGTCCAAATCCTGCCTGCTAAAAATTGTTTTTCAGAATACTATGATTATGTGTCACTCAAGGGCCCTTACACAAAGGAAACACAGATTCAATCATAGCCTTTGGAATGGGTGAATACACTTTTCCTTCAAAACCCCATGCAGAGACAACATTTGGATCACAGGGATGAAAGTGACTGCAACTGAGTCTAACATAGAACCACAGCCTTTCTTCCCAGAGAGTGGTCCACAGACCAGGACCTGCAGCATCAATACCACCTGGGTGCTTGTCAGAAACACAGCTTCTCTGAGCCTAAAATATCTGCTGAGTCAGGTTCTGCATTTGAACTAGAATTTTGGGTACATTATATGCATTTGAAACCTAGGAAGTGCTGGTCTAAACTAGATTTTGTTACCTTTTACAATTTACATTTGGGGATGGATTATAAATACAGAGATATTTATTTGTGTGAGCGTGAATTGTAGGTGTTTAGTGGTATCCCTTCAGGCATTGCTAGGTGTAAAATCATTTCCAGTTGAGACCCACTGGCTGGAAGAATCCAGAAAAAATCATAACCAAGGCCCATTATATACTCTGATATTACCTTTGAGCAAATTGCCAACCCCCTTCAGCTCTTTTCTAAGGCCTTGGTACTGGCCATTCCCACTGCCAACTACACACTTGCTCATACAACCTTGATCTCCCTCCCTTTCTCTCTTGAGTTGAGTGCTCAAATGTCACTTGTTGGCAGACCTTGCCTAAAAACCCATGAAAAATAGAATGGCCTAGATACTTTCCCTTTAGACCTGCTTTTGTTTTCTTCATAGTATTTGTCACCATGTGTAATGTTATATTTCTATTTTTTGCCTCTACATTCTTTCCCCAATATTGGCTTGTAGGAACTTGTGTTTTTCAGTACCATCTATTCACAGATTAGACAGTGCAGAAAACACAGTCAGCACTTAATTTGTATTCCTGAAAACTTGAATAATTTCTCACTGATACTGTAGTTAGGCTAACACCTTAGGGGAAAAACAGATTGGGATGAAAATTTGTGCTCTGATGAACACTGAGAAATCATAGAAGAAAACAGATCCATGTCAAAATGCTGAAATCAATATCTTAACTACAACATATAAACTGTAGCATTACAGCTATGTGAGTAATACTGCTTTGTGTGAAAATTACTCCTGTTCTTTTTCTCTTTCTTGAAAGTCATCTCCACCTCATGGATTCAGGGAACCTTACAAGAGTGTCAGAATTTCTTCTCCTGGGACTATCAGAGGCACCAGAACTACAGCCCTTCCTATTTGGGCTATTCTTCTGCATGTACCTGATCACAGTGTTGGGAAATCTGCTCATCATCCTGGCTGTCAGCTCAGACTCCCACCTCCACACACCCATGTACTTCTTCCTCTCCAACCTGTCCTTGATAGACATTTGTTTCACCTCTACCATTGTCCCAAAGATGCTGCTGAACATCCAGACACAGAGCAAAGCCATCACCTATGCAGGCTGCATCACTCAGATGTGTTTTTCCTTACACTTTGCAGTGTTGGATGATATCCTCCTGACTGTGATGGCCTATGACCGCTTTGTGGCCATCTGCCACCCCTTGCACTACATGGTCATTATGAACCCCAAGCTCTGTGGACTACTGGTTCTAATGTCTTGGATCATAAGTGCTCTGAATTCCCTGTTACAATGTTCTATGGTGTTGAGGGTGTCCTTCTGTCCAGACTTGGAAATCCCCCACTTTTTCTGTGAACTCAATCAGATGACCCAACATGCCTGTTCTGACACCTTTCTTAATAACATTGTGATGTGTTTTGTAACTGTACTACTAGGTGGTGGTCCCCTGGCTGGGATCCTTTACTCTTACTCTAAGATTGTGTCCTCCATACGAGCAATCCCATCAGCTCAGGGGAAGTATAAAGCATTTTCCACCTGTGCATCTCACCTCTCAGTTGTCTCCTTATTTTATGGTACAAGCTTAGGCGTGTATCTCAGCTCTGCTGTTACCCACAACTCACAGTCCAGTGCAATTGCCTCAGTATTGTACACCGTAGTCACACCCATGCTGAACCCCTTCATCTATAGTCTCAGGAACAAGGACATAAAGAGAGCTCTCAAAAGATCTTTTGTGGTGGCAGGTACAAAAGGGACAATCACTTGAGGACAAAAAAGTATCCTTGCCTTCTTTGCCCTAAGATTCAAAACCAGAAATTGTGATAATTTAATCAGATTTTTGGTTTTGAACTTGCTCATTTCATTTCTGTCCTGGAATTTCCTTTGTTTGTTTCAAGTTCTCTACACAGTTTAAGCCACCATTTTATTAAGCTTTGTACTTTGTCTATTATATAGACAGTTTTCCCTTTGTCCATTTTCCAAAAATCAAAAAGTTTTTTCCAGCCTTATCAGATATATTTGAAAGTGTTTCTTTATTTCTGTGTAAACAATGATGTCCTTAGAATAATTTCTTCTCAAATGACATACAGGGCCAGCAGAAGTAAGGCTTGATTGTGTATGGTTGGTAGGGTACGTGAATGCTTCATATGAGATGGACAACAATTTCAACATTTCACCTAAAATGTCATATGGTGTGTTTCACTGTAATAGTGTTATGTTATAGAATTACATGCTTATGACTTTGTAATAAAAAAGGAGCTTTATTAGTGCCAGACCCTATATATTATTGTAAGTAACTTTTTCTTGTTTTGTAGATAGAGTAGTAAAGGGTTTTTTAAAAGAGCATTTTATAACATGTTGATTCTTGTATAAAATTCACAAAAATTTTATGTATATTCCTGTAATTCCAAAAGAAGTTTGAGCCCTGAATATATCCACAGATATGTCTGTTGTCTGATGTCCTTTGATCTTATTGAAATTGCTCCTAATTAAAAATAAAAATGCATATCTTTCAAGTTCCAAAGAAAAATAAACAAACTAATTAAAAATGAAAATGAAAAGGGAACTCCATCATTGGGGGCATAACAACGAGTGCTTATGCAGCAGCTGTGTTCATGCATCTGTCACTGTGATTACAAAAAAGATCAGAAACAAGACAAGGTTGTCCAATTTCACCACTTCCATTCAACATAGTATTGGAGGTCCTTATGAAAGCAAACAACAACAACAAAAATAAAAACAAAACTGATCAGACAACCAAAAGAAATAAAAATGTGGGGAAGCTCTACCTGCAGCCCCCCACCCCGCCCCAGCTGCCATGGATGAGAATAAGTCTACCAAGACATGATCTTCTTGGCTGATCTCTCAGATAAGAAGGACCAAGAGCTTTTTACTCAATGGGCTTGTATTAGTTTTATTTTGCACAGGAATACAGGTAAAGCTCATTAATCATTGTCAGGCAGTAAGGATCAAACAACAGATAATATACAAAGAACTCTGAGGTCCTATTCTGAGTCAGGGTCTGTTAGCTAAAGGGCTACAAAACTTTGGGAAACAAACTCACTTCCTGCTTGGACCCTCATCATTTAATTGAGAGCATTCTAAACAAAGCAGGTTTCACAGGATTTTACATATTCTTTCTTATGCCTGAATGCTCTAGGGAGCCCACCCTTTCCAGCACAGGGCTTCACCCACAACCAGCATTGTTTCAGACTTAAGTCAGGCAGGGGATGTAAGACAGCCAGGAGATTAGGAGACTTCTTGCAGACAGAATGAGGACTCAGGCTATGTAAAATCCAAGGGGCGAGGGTCCATCACCCCCTCTATCTATAGCCCCCCAAGTCCTTCCCTGGGGCCTCCCCATGATCATGCCTGTCTTAGATCGTTCCACCCTTGGGGAATCTTACCCATCACTGGCTAACTGATCAAGCATTAGGGGCCAGGCAGAATGAAGAAAAAGGAGCAGAAGTGGCACTCCTGCCAGGGAGAGAAGCTTTGTCTCCTTAGTGGCTTATGGTCTGAAGGTTATTCACTAAGCCTTAGCTAAGGGGGAAGGGGAGGGAGAGGTTACAGCTTCTGAAACCAGGCAGGGCAGTTCCCAACATAAAAGGCATCCAAACTGGAAAAAAGAAATCAAAACTCTCATTGTTTGCAGATGACATGATAGTGTACATAGAAAACCCTATAGACTCCACCAAAAAAATTACTTGACCTAATAAGTGAATTTGGCAAAACAGCTGGATACAAAGTCAATATTCAGTAATCAAAGGCATTTTTGTACGCCAACAATGAAATATCAGAAACAGAAACCAGGAAAAAAATCTCATTTGCTATAGCAACAAGAAAACTAAAGTACCTAGGAATAAACCTTCCCAAGAAGATAAAAAGACCTGTACTCAGAAAACTACACAACACTGAAGAAAGAAATTAAAGAAGACACAAACAAATGGAAGCATGTACCATGTTCATGGATTGGACAAATTAACATTATCAACATGTCCATAGTACCCAAAGTAATTTATAGATTCAATACAATCCCTATTCAATTACCAATGACATATTTCACAGATATAGAACAAACATGTCAGAAATTTATATGGAACCATAAACAACCCTGAATAGCTGCAGCAATTTGAGAAAGAAGAACAAAGTAGAAGGGATCACAATACCTGATATCAAACTGTATTACAAGGCCACTGTTATAGGGGACTGTTCTGCATGGAAGTGGGAAATGTAGCCCAGCTTCCACTTGGAAAAGCCAGTGGAGAGTGAAGTCTGGCACACAGGACCCACGCCCACAGATAGGTTCTCCTATGGGGAATCAGGCCTGCATTGTACTAGGTTGCTATGAGACTTGTTTTTGCTAAAACTCCCTCACCCTGAATTGAGGCAGCAAAAATTTATTGTTTAGTTATATCTCTAAAGTAACCTCCTAAAATCTGTGCTAAACCTCCAAAGTGTGGAGTGTAACCAGTTCAACCACTTTTCCCCTTGATCTGAAACATCCTTCTCTTTGAAGTAATTAGCAACATTCTTTCCTTTGTTATCTGTAAAAGGTAATCACCTATAGTGAACCTGCACATAGTAAATGAGGACCATCCTCAATGTAATGTACCCAGAAAAGCAATAAAAGCCTGTCCAGGCAGGGGTCAGGGCTCTCTCTGTCACTCAGAGAGTGGCCATACTATCCCTTTTTCTCCACAGCACTTCTGTAGTCTGTGTTAATTTGTTCATTGGAGCCACAATACACAGACTTGGTAGGCCAGAGTCTGCATCACACTGTAATCAAAACAGCCTGATACTGGCATAAGAATAGATACACAGACCAATAAAACAGAATAGAGAGCCCAGAAATAAACCCAATTCTCTATGGCTAATTAATGTTTGACAAAGGGGGCAGAAGCATAAAATGAAGTAAAAATAACCTCCTCAACAAATGGTGTTGGGAGATCTAGACAGCCCTACATGCTAAAACCCCCCCAAAAACAAACAAAAAAACTTTGATTACCAACTGACACCACACACAAAAATGAACTCAAAGTGGATAAAAGACTTAAATATAAGTAGTGACATCATGAAAGTCCTTAAGGAAAACATAGGCAGGAAAATCTCAGATAGTTTATGTAGCAATATTTTCACCAATATGTCCCCTAGAGCAAGCAAGGTACATAAAGGAAATAATTAACAAATGGGTTCTCATCAAAATAAAAAGCTTCTGCATGGCTAATGAAAACACTATTAAAATGAAAAGAGAACCAACCACATGGGAAAACATATTTGCCAATGACACCTTAGACAAGGGTTTGATCTCCAAAATATATAAAGAACTCACACGAGTCCACCCCAGGAAGACAACCAACCAAATCACAATGGGCAGAAGACCTGAACAGACACTTCTCCAAGGAGGACATACAGAGGGCCCAGAGGTATACAAAAAGATGCTCAGCATCACTAACCATCAGAGAGATGAAAATTAAAAACACAATAAGATGCCACTTCACACCAGTGAAAATGGCCATCATAAACAAATCAACAAACAACAAGTGTTGGAGAGGATGTGGAGAAAAGGGAACCCTAGTGTATTGTTGGTGGGAATGCAGACTGGTGCAGCCACTGTGGGAAACAGTATGGAATTCTCTCAGAAAACTAAAAATGGAACTGCCTTTTGACCCAGCAATTCCATTGCTGGGATTATATCCTAAGAACCCTGAAACATCAATCCAAAGAACCTATGCACCCCAATGTTCACAGCAGCACAATTTCTAATACCTAAGTGCTGGAAGCAACCTAAGTGCCCATCAGTAAATGAATGGATCAAAAAACTATGGTACATTTACACAGTGGAATTCTATGGAGCAGAAAGAAAGAAGGAGCTCCTACCCTTTGTGACAGCATGGATGGAACTGGAGAGAATTATGCTAAGTGAAATAAGCCAGGTGGTGAAAGACAAATACCATATGGTCTCACCTTTAAGTGGAACTTAATCCACAAAACAAACAAGCAAGCAAAATATAACTATAAACACTAAAATTAAGAAGGTACTGACAGTAACCAGGGGGGAGGTAGGAGGGGATAATGGTGGAAAAATGTGGAAGGGTTTTCAGGAACAACTATGAAGGATACATGGACAAAACCAAGGTGGGGTGGAATCAGGGGAGGGAGATGGGGATGGCAGGAATGGGAGGAGTAGTGGGAGGAAAAGGCAGACAAGCATACTTGAACAACAATGAAAAATTTGCATTACATGTCAAAAATTTATGAAATATCTAAATTCAGGGAACTTATATACTAAATAAAATTTTATTTTTGATATATTTTATTGATTATGCTATTACAGTAATCCCATTTTCCCCCCATTCACTCCCCTCCACCCTGCATACACCCTCCCACCCACATTCCCCCCCTTCAGTTCATGTCCATGGGTCATACATATAAGTTCTTTGGCTTCTACATTTCCCATACTATTCTTACCCTCCCCCTTTTTATTTTCTACTTACCATCTATGCTACTTATTCTCTGTACCTTTTTCCCCTCTCTCCCCCTCCAAAATCCTCACTGATACCCCTTCATGTGATCTCTATTTCTATGATTCTGTTCCTTTTCTAGTTGTTTGCTTAGCTTGCTTTGTTTTTGTTTTAGGTGTGGTTGTTAATAATTTTGAGTTTGCTGTCATTTTACTATACATGTTTTTAATCTTCTTTTTCTTAGATAAGTCCCTTTAACATTTCATCTAATAAGGGCTTGGTGATGATGAACTCCTTTAACTTG